GGATTACAAGGTCAACTGCTCAATTCATATGGATACGGTTCAGCATCTACAGTGAAATCACAAGGTTTCACTCTTGACACAATTTTTCTGCTTGACATTTCTTAAGCCTGGCTCCTATTATTCATCTGCTGCAACCAAAATCATTTTTGTTAGTTTTTTACACATATGCGTGCAATAGTTGTTATAAATCACGACCTTCAAATTAAGTTTATGAGTGATATTTACTTATTTTATGAAGTGTTTAGTGTTGGATGTAACCTTGGTTGAACTGCAGGGAGGAGGGGCATCAAGGTAGGCGACATAGTTGCTGCTGAGAGACCATATAACTCCAACTCTGTGCTAAATCTGCAGTTCTGCATGGACGTTCGGGGCAAGAATGAGAACTGCCGCTATAGCCATGCCTCACTATCCTGCAGCACAATTGTGGAGAATCACCTTAGTTTAATTTTTCTCACCATGCTTCACTTCCATTCAGTGTAGTGGATTCTAGCTATTTGAGAGGTAACATGTTTTCAAATGCTACCCTCATATTTTTTCATTCTGGTGTTTCTCATAGCTGTTCGGGTAAGAGATCAATGGGAAATGACCATGTGTTTGGATAGCAAGTTCTTTGGGCACTTTTCCATACTGATCAAAATAGTAATTCAAACCAATTACTTTCTTGACATTCCACATGTGCACATCCTGCTTACCCCACTTAATCAACATGTGGGCCATGTTTTAGTTCAGCCTTTGCCCTAGACCAAAAAAAATCTTTGTCGTTGCCAGCAGGAAAATTAGCATTTTTTTATGTATGTTTCGTTATGCATTCATAGATCTTCATGTGCAATAATAAGGCATTTTCTAGCTTCTGATGCTGCTACAGTTTCCGCACTTTCAGACTCGACAACCTTGCAATCTGTAGTTTTGAAATATCCTTACCATGATGAATATTAAACTTCAAACAGTCAATTATTTGTAGACTCCATTATGTGAAAACTTATCCTACCTCTATTCTATTAGCAATTTATTTTCCTGAAAATGCAGACTTGGAGCAAAACAAGAAGTTTACGACAATGTTGACGTATAATTGCCGTAATAAGTTCCGATTCTCGTCAGGTAGGAAGTTTGGAGAAGAAAACATAAGTTTTTAAAAGAAGGGAATGGTAAAAATGTTAGTCCGTTCAACTATATAAACCATAAAGGTGCGATGGTGATGTCACCGTCAGTAAGGATAAGATGAAAAAGAAAATTAAAAACTAAAACTAAAAGAACATCAAGTGATTTTTTTTGACAAGTACAAACTCTAGTACCATAAGTACCATAAATTTTAAATAAAAAAATTGCATCAGTTCTGACTCAAGAGACAATAAATTTGCAAAAAAAATTGTACCAGTAAAAGTTCGGAGGAAAAAAAGCAACTTAATAAATGAAAAAAAAAACACAAGTTCACGATTAGAAAAGTTGTATGTTCAAACATGACGTCTCTGATAAGTTTGGGGAAAAGCTCAAACAAAAGAAAAACCCATGGAAATTCAAATGGTAAAAGTTCAAGTCGCAAAACGCGAGAAGTCCAAAACATCGTTGCAAAAAAAAAAAAATTGGGAAAACATTCAACAGGGCTAAGTTTCACATTTTCAATAGCTTTGCGTAGACGTTGAACTGAAATCTTTGGCCTCTTTGAAAGTTTTGCATTTGATAATTCTTTGTGAGATTTCGTGGATAAGCAAATAAGCAATCTGGCCCTTTCAAACAGTATAAATGGATTAACTAAAAAAACAGTAAATGGATTTGGATTCGTGGACAACTAATTGATGGATGCAAATAAGCAATCTAGCCCTTTCTCTCAAAAATAGAAACCGGAAACTTGCTATATACACAATTAAGGAACAAACTGCCTACTCTGTTTCTTCCCAAATTGGGAAGAACACAACTAGTACTATGTACAGTACAGCTGTGCTCTGTTTAGCTGAACGATTAGCTGCACACGGCGTCCGCGTCTCCGCCATGCCGCTGTGCTCGTTGTCCTCTCGCCACGCTCCAGCGTTCGGCGGCTCGACGAGCATCCCTTGCGCCAAGCTCTCGTAGTACGATCGGCAACCATGCCGCCAAACCACTACTCGCCGTCGAGCTCCAGCAAGTCGCCTGACGACATGGAGAACGGCCGGGCAGGCTACTGCCGCTGGAACGCACGGACGACAACGGCTCCTCAGGCTCCGGGGTCGCACGCCCGGCCAGAACGGAGCTCCGCCGGCCACCCGGCGGGGAGGGGGAGGGGGAGGGGCCGTACGAGCATGAAGGCGTTGGAGCAGCAGGGGATCTTGGGCGCGTTGTCGTCCTAGTGGAAGATGTCACCGCCGACGGCCGCCCTCGCGCCCCGGCGCCCATCGCCGCGCCTAGGGTGGGGTCTGGGTTGCCTCGAGGGAGGCGCGCGGGTGGAGGGATCCGCCGCGAGCAGCTCGGTTGACGGGGAGAGAGAGAGCAGGAGGGCTCTTATTTACTCTTTTAATAAAAACGATCA